TCATATTTCGATATACATTTACTGATGGTTCCTGCCAATGAACATCCAGAGCAATTTTTGCTACTTTCTTGTATAATATATCAAGAGAATTAAGTTTGGTTTTGGCAGCCCTACACCATATTATATCCAGGTAGTCAAATTGGGGGAGCATAAGAGCATTTACAAACATTTTTCTATATTTCAGTGGAAGAAGATTTTTCGACCTGTATAATGCCCCTATTCTTTTAGCAATTTTTGTTTTCACATAATCAATATGGTCTTGAAAGTTCAATAAATTGTCTATCATGAGGCCTAAATATTTTTGAGATTTAGTTTCTTCTATAAATAGGCATTCTTTTTCCAAATCCAGAGGGATTGATAACGTGTCCAGATTAGGTGATCTATCAAATACAATAAATGAAGATTTTGCAGCATTTAGTCTCAGCTTGTTGATTCTAAGCCATTCATACACAATTTTCATATCCTTAATTACATTCTCATATATGCCTCGGGAAATGTTATCGAAATATAGTGCACTGTCATCTGCAAATAAGTAAACAGTAGATTGTGTGCAATTTCTACTGAGATCATTTATGAATAAACTAAATAGAATTGGTCCTAATATGCTACCCTGTGGCACACCTGTTTTAACAGGGAGTGATGTGCTTACATTACCACGTATTTTGGTGTGCTGCTTTCTGTCCCCAAGGTAGCTTTTGAACCACTTTATGACAAAGCCATCAACTCCATAATACTTAAGTTTTTTTAATAAAATATTATGGCTTACTGTGTCAAAGGCCTTTTTAATATCTAAGAATACAATTGCAGGTTTATTCTGTGATTCCTTAGACGTAAATATTTTATCAAATAGATTAAGCATTAGAAAAGTGGTGGAATGATCTTTTCTAAATCCAAACTGATGGTTGGTAAGCAGTTTATTTGTTTCAACATACTCTGTAAGCTGTTGGTTAACAAAATATTCTATGCATTTTCCAAGTAGGGGGAGTATGGATATTGGCCGGTAGTTATTTGGATCATTAGGGTCACCAGTTTTAAGAATTGGAGTGACTGATGCGATTTTACATGCCAACGGCATTGTTCCACTTTTCATACTAAGGTTTATAATATGAGCTACTGGATCGATGATTTGGGGAATAATATACTTATATACTTTAATGGGCATGATATCGTTAATCGATTTATCTGATGGTATACTGAGTATATATTCTTTTACTTGTTCAACAGTCACCTCTTCGAATTCAGAGAGTTTACACTCTGTTGGAGGCGGCATATATTCTAGGAAGTCGTCTGAATCCTTTTCCATAATCGATTCTTGTATTATTGTACCAACTGTGGCAAAATGCAGGTTAACTCCGTTAACATTTAAGTTGCTTGGGGAAGAGCTACTTATTTTTCCAGGTAAGTTTGAAGCATGTTTGATAGTTTTCCAAATACCTTTCAAATCGTTTTTTGCACTTTTCACAGTAAGGTCCTGAACAATATTTGTACGTCTGTTTTCTTTGGATAATTTTGTCACATAGTTTCTTTGGGGACGATAGTTATCCCACGAAGTAGAGCATTTCTTATGTAGTTCACTTTTTCTGCATTTACATATTCCATTAATACAATTACACTTGGATTTGTTTAATTGTCCTAAACATTTTTTATACTTTCTGAAAAGCATCTTCTTCTTCCGTATTTCTGCCAACAGTTCTTTAGAGGGATTACAAAGAAAGTTACTATTACATTTTATCTGTTTAGGTGGACAGTAATTATCATACGATTCCTGGATGTGATGATTAAGTCCATCTAGGGCATGGTCTACATTAGTACAGCTTAGAATATTACTGTAGTTACTGCAGGATCCCAGAAAATAGCCTAAGGCTTTTAGATTGTTTAAGGAGTGGTCTCTGATAAGGACCTTCTGGAATTTACTAGCTTTGTTTACTTTAAAGTCGAGAACACATTTGAGAGCTTGGTGATCTCCTATTCTATCATCAAGTACTTTACACTCTATGAAATTAGAGTAACAGTTAGTCATGACAACATCTATTGTGCTCTGCGTTATTCTACCATCTAAGTTTGCAACTCTAGTAATTCCCGTAACAGTCTGTATCATTCCAAAGAGCTTCATTGTTATATCTAACTTTTTATAATCTAGATCAGATAAAGAGTTTTGGTTAACATTAACATCGCCAATCCATATTACTTTCTTACCTTGAAGTTTCATCATACATTCAGTCATATAATCAAGGAAAGTATCTAGGTGACAAAAGTTTTGTGATCTGTAGAAGCAGCAAATGTAAAGATTGGCATCCTTGAGCTGTATCCATATAGCTTCGATTTTAGAAATATCAGAGTAGGTTATATCTAAATTGAGTAATTTGTGGTTAACATTTTGGTTGATCAATATACCACACCCTCCTCTTCCTCTATCGTTAGGTCTATCACACCTTATAAAATCAAAGTTTAAGGGGAAGTTAAGTGTACTAGTGTCTATATCAGATTTAAGGTTTGTCTCATTAATTCCAATTATGTCAAGCTTTTCGCGAAATATTAGCTCCTGTAGTTCGAGAGTTTTTGCCAGATTAGTCAGGCCACCCTGTATATTACATAGACCAAGAGAGAGATTATCGTTTATTGAGGTACGAATAAGGTTAAACTAATGCTAATGGGGAACAAATCCACATACAGTCTCCTCAAGTAGACTAAGTTTCAAATCATGTCATACATATGATTTAAATTGAATTTCGGATCAGCAATCTTACTGCAATTTAAATCATAAAATTTAACAGCATAAAATAGTAACTCACTTCTGTTTGTGATAAATATAGCTTGAGAGATATAAAAACGTTAAGTTATTAAAAATTTGTGCTGATCTAACATTTTAAACCAGATGAAACAGTAATCCTGTTAATATTCATGTTGATACCATTGGATTATAAAATTTCAGTGAAGTTTTAACACAAGTGAGTTACATATTTAAACCAGATAAAACAGTAATCCTGTTATTATTCATGTTGATACCCTTGGATTATAGAATTTTAATAAAGTTTAACACAAGTGAGTTACATATTTGAGATGCTTACCAAGCCTGGCAATTCCTAACTTATTAAGGTGCACATTGTCATGGCCCCTGCCAAAATACTTGTCCTTTCTATTATAATTTAAAGTAAAGAGATTGTTTTCATGTTCTGTGTTAATGTATATTAGCCCATGCTTATAACACATATTCTCTAAGTATCGATTAAGTCCCTGCACTATAATGTTCTTACTAGTGACAGCTCTAGGCAGAATATTTAAGATATATATTTTTGCACTATTAAATTCTGCCCACAATTTTTGAACAAATTCTTCCATGTCATTGGTGGCACTGTTGAAGTTCATTGTGTTGAGGTCAATTGGATCAACACAGTTAGTACCAGTTAGTAAAACAACCTTTTTAACCTTTTCTTTGTTGAGAGCTTTGAACTGACTGTCGCTAAAGAGTCTTTGGGACATTTGGATTGAGTTGGCCCCTGGGTAGAAAAATACTTTGGCCTTCTGAGATGAAGAGCTCAACAGTTTTTCATTCAGATGCCTAAACATGCTGCTGCTGATATAAACTGTGCTCACATCGTTGGGTGTCTCCTTTTCGAACAATTGTTGTCTGTTAACATGCCGCCCTGATTGATGCAGATGGGATGGTGGAGATGTATAGGGTGGGGTTAGAGGTCGGTGCTGATAAGCACCATTCGTTTTCCTTGATGGATGAACTATAAACTCGTCTTCTTGATAAGGTACATAGCCGCTGGAGTTGGAGATGTTTTCATATGGGTCATGGTAATTGTCATTGCACATGTTGGTTGGTGTACTTGTTAATCTTTGGACAACAGCTACAGGTTTGATCAGTCTGAATGTGATACTGATCCTTTTGTTTGTACAAGATGGTTGAGTACAGATTTCATGTCTGTAATGAAGCTGGGATTTTTTAGACATGATACAAACATCCCCATGCTTTAGATCTAGGGCAGACACCACTTTTCCTGTTTGAATTTCTGTGAACTGCATCGTCCTAGAGGCACCCAGAGAAACTGTAACAATATAAGAGTTTTCATCGATGCATTCTTCATTATCACTATGGATAGGCATGCATTCTGTCCCAGTACTGTAGTAGTTTACGAGAGCACTGTTGTAAACATAATCCGGGAGTAACACATCAAGATATGAACAGATAGCAGCCAGATAGGACTGATGTGGTATCTCCTTCGCCTCGTGACTTCCCCCATTATACACATATGGGAAGTCCCCAAAGTAAGCTGTTTTCCTATTTTGAAACTGGTGGCTAAAATCCAATTCTCTCAGGAAGATGTCTAAGGAGAATTTTTGAAACGGTGCCTGATCAATGAGTTCAACAGGTGGTATGATAATGTCAGGGCTTTCGTCATTTACACTTAAGGCCACACTAGATATGGGTGTTACATCTATTTCAGCATAATACTTGCCACTCCATGGATTGACAGATCCTGTACTCCCACTGATTTGATTTTCTGTGTTGTTGGAAATGATAGAATCTGGTGCTTCAATGATGCCATCACTATTGATTAGCATGAAAGATTCAGGCACCTCGCATTCACTGTCATATTCAATCTGATCGTTTTCAAATTCTGTCTGAACTGCAACATCTGAACACCTATCCAGGACAGCCCGATAATCTATTGACTGATTGGTACTTTGATGTAACAACGTACCATTAATCTCTGCTATAGTCTGAGAAGTTTGAACAATGTCTTCTAGGATGATCACTTTCCGCTCGAGAAACTTGACATGAGATTTGAGTGCAGTACAGTTTTTGCATTTTTGATCACATTCCGACAATAGTTTTCCAAAAAATGTTTCCATTGAATCGTCCATGATATTGAGTTGATGATTTGAATTAAGTTGTTGATTTGAATTGAAGCAAATTGAAGAGTTCACATGTGAGATTTGTTCCATTCCATTAACGTTACATTCGTATTACATTCGTATTACTTTGGTCATACCTCAAATTATTTGTTATATAGTAGTGTTGAAAGTATTAAAACTGATGTATGATTTCTAGAAACTTTAAATTAATTTTGGCGCTCACAGGTCCTCATAAATATGTGATCGCCGCATAAGGTTCTGTAAATGCGCAGGGCACCTTCAAGCTTAAATTATTCACCTTACCAACCAGTCAACCAACGCGCGGCTTTATTTTTATGATATGATATGTTTTGATTGTTATTAATAAATACCAAAATTTAAATTTGTTTTCCTTCCTAGAGCTACTAATCACGGACGAACCAGACACTAACTCACTATTTACAATCGGACTCAACTGGGACTCACGGACCAACCTACCTGGTTGCTCCACAGGTGAAGCTGATCGAGCTGACTGCTGAGGAATAACATTTGTTGTCATGTGGTCGGAAACAGGTATATGTGACTCCGCTCTCTGTCGTCTACGTTCCAGGACCTCGTTTAGTTTTTGACCCTTCTGTTACAACCTATTCCTGACCTTAATTGATACACAATAAAATGGAATGTTAATACAAAATAAAACTCGGAATTATAATAAATAAACTGAAATAGAAGGTGTTAATAAATTAACACTAGATATTATAATAATTCACTTACTCACTAACCTCCCTAGACCTGTACCCGATTCCCACTATAAACTAACTACTAACTACTAACTAAAACTACTACACTAAAATATCACCAAATAATATCCGAACTAAAAGTCTTTACTTCCTACTAAAATATATTACTAAAACTATGTTTATACAAATTACACTTCTTCGTTACTATCTTCTTTCTTCTAGTTGACTACTACTTACACTCCTAGCTACTGTTTACTATATCTTCTTATCTTCGTTCCACACTCCACTACAATACTACACACACACACTAAAAACACCTGAAATATGATTCATAAGTAATACAATAAATATGAATCATCTACAACATAAGAAATATATAAACCTACAACTATCATCAATCAATATAAAAGAATAAACCTAAACTATAACCTACACTAGAACCTACCGGTGTTCTACTACACTATCCACGAAGGACTTCGCAGGCTGGTACACCTTCTACACAGCACTGTTACTCTAACACACCTTCTGTTACTCCTTCCTCGTTGGATCTCTTCTTTACCTCTTCTTCACCGTGACACCTTCTCACATTAGCTATAATATATATTTATAATACAAAGAATAATCTTAGAACTCATATATTATAACACTCATCCCAATTTTAAAATTTTTTAAAAATGCCCGAAAACCGATCCACCAAAATACAAAAAGAACTGTCGTGCACAACACGCCGCGCCGTTCTAAATCTCAAATTTTGCTAGTAATAAGCAAAATTTTCCTTTCACAAAGGAAAAAGGTCTACTTAAAAAATCGTTTAAAATCCACGTCATTTTAAAACTTCCGTCTCAATCATCTGAATCAAAAATTATCAGATTTACAAAATTCAAAGTACCCCATAATACTGCAGAATTCTGCAAAATCATAACTTACGATTAAAATTGGTGTTTTCACCGAAACTCCCTTTTAAAACATACCGTTTTTCTTGAGAAATTGCTGTGTTAGAATTTTTACTAGAAAACTGATTAAACTGGAGCTAGGTCAATATTCCGAAGAATAAGCCGACAGTTTAGCAAAACCTCTCTTAGTTGAACTGGAAAAAAGCTTCCACCAACTGTAACAATCAAAATATAGGTTATTGCTCAACTGTTTCTAAAACTCAGTTTTCCAGTAAGATACAAACTAATCAACAGCTTTAACAATATCTTAACATGCACACTCGATATTTATATTTTATATGAATTGATCTATTTGTTAGCAGTGTTAAAATTGATACTGACAGGTACTGACTAACTGACAAGAAATTAACTGCGAAAAAAAAACTGCTTGATTAATTCATCCATTCGGATTTTAATAACGATGAGCTATGATATACCGTTCATCTTAGACTATTGGATCAATCTTATTGTATGATTAGATTTTATTAATGAACTTGGCACACAAAAGATTATAATGCAGAGGTTGGCTGGCTCTTCTATAATAAATACGACACTTCAATTTACAGAATGCTTGCTAGAGATAAGACAAAATATTATCAGACTATACATGCAACATGAGTAACTGGTGGATAAGCCTTCGGTAAAAACGGATCCGGAAAAGTCAATGCGGCACTCGGGTCCTTGGTATTGTCGTCGGTATATTGTCCATTATCTACGTTCTGCTTTCGTAGTTTAAACAATAGTGAGTTCTAAATATACAGCTTTAAACCGATTAAGTATGAATGAATGAAATACCTGACAATCCGCACTCTTATAATCCAAAAGCATGAGTAACTCATCTAGTGATGTATGATTTCTAGAAACTTTAAATTAATTTTGGCGCTCACAGGTCCTCATAAATATGTGATCGCCGCATAAGGTTCTGTAAATGCGCAGGGCACCTTCAAGCTTAAATTATTCACCTTACCAACCAGTCAACCAACGCGCGGCTTTATTTTTATGATATGATATGTTTTGATTGTTATTAATAAATACCAAAATTTAAATTTGTTTTCCTTCCTAGAGCTACTAATCACGGACGAACCAGACACTAACTCACTATTTACAATCGGACTCGACTGGGACTCACGGACCAATGAAACTAATAAATCAATGAAACTAATAAATCAATGTTTTAGCTCATTTTACAAAGTCAAATATTTAAAACAATTAAAATTGTATAGTGCTCAATTTGTAAATGACTAGTTGATCTTTGCTATTGGAAGTTTGTCAAGGACTGGCAGCTAACGGGGGCAAGGAATGCACGGGCTTAGGGGCTTTTGTGCACACCAGAACACTAGCTCGGTAGATTTTTGGAAACTAGAAGGACTGAAAACTAAAATTGTTTTTGATGGAGGCTGAGGCATATTTTTGAGAGGGACGGTATAATAGCTTGTGGTAACAACTGGCCTTTACTTTAATAGGATGAAGTTTTAGTTTTAGGACAGGAAGAAGGCATTAAGAAAATTTGCTCTTTGTTTACAAGGCAGAATATAAGCAATGTTGGTTATAATATGTATCAATATCTAGATCTTCGTTTATCAATTTTCACTAAATGGGTTTAAAATTTTAATAGGGAGGGAAATTCATCAACTTTATTAAGTACCTATCAAAAATAAATCTTATATCAATGTAATATATTAAAAATCATAATCCTAAGTCTAATAATAAATCTGTTAAAAACACTTTCTCACTACACTGCGCTCACACACGTTAGTAAGACAAAGGAAAATGCACACCCAGCTAATTTTCAATTTCAAGATAATCATTTTGGATGTGTGGACCCTAGGGTAGACTTAATGTCAAAATTTAGATTAGAGCATTCGAAATCTTTGTTTGTCCAATCAAGATCAGCATGGTTATGCTGGTTGACGAGCAGTGATTGCTTCATCCTAGACTTCAGGCAGGCCACACTTAGACAGTAGTCACGTATACCAAGCTTAGGCACAATTACGTTCCAAATACGAGTCGTTCTGCAACCTACCTGGTTGCTCCACAGGTGAAGCTGATCGAGCTGACTGCTGAGGAATAACATTTGTTGTCATGTGGTCGGAAACAGGTATATGTGACTCCGCTCTCTGTCGTCTACGTTCCAGGACCTCGTTTAGTTTTTGACCCTTCATCATTGAATATCGGTCCCCGTCCTCTGTCAACCGTCGTCTTTGACTCTCGGGTACATCATCTCTCTTCATACTAATTACCGGTGAGTATCTAGGTTTTAGCACATCTGCGTGTTTCTTAACCACTCTGCCTTCGTGCTGGATTGCGTAGTTGTTTGAGTTATCACCGTATCTCTTGATCACTCGAGCTTGTACCCACGGTCCTCGATTGTCCATTCGTACAAAAACTTGTTGGTTCTCCATAAATTCTCGTGTCTTTCTTTGCTCATCTACGACTTTTTGCAGTTTCTCTGTCTGTAAAGCTTGAACCTTCATGTGTGTAAGCAGTGGACACTTGCTTCTCGGTTCGAAGTTTATTTGCATTTAATTAAGGGTTTGGACAATGGAAACGAGCGTGATAATAAAGGGTAAACAAAGTTAAACTATGAAACAATACAATGAATAATTCGACAACCTCTACTTCAAATCCTAATTAACCAGACTCGTATCGCCCATAAACGCTCAGCGATCTAGTGCTGCAACATAAAACACGGATAGCACGGTCAACTCGCCTTGACCGTGCCTAATCTAGGTGCCCTGAAATAACCACTGTCGATTCTAAACCTCTAACGACACGTTCCATCCGTGCTCACCAGGCCCCAACCATAACTGGTCCTGGTCCCTTACACTAGTCTGGTATCAACCATGACCCTCTATCGAATAGGGTGAGAATGCAAACAAGGGGTATAATAAAGGTGCCCAAGGTACTTAACTGAACAATGAATAATCGAATATTTGCTCAACCAACGCTTAGTCACTTAGACTCATATTGCCTCAAATGCTGTGCAACAAATTCCTAATTGCTCCGATTCATACTGCCTCAAATATTACGCAACCTACTTCCTGCCGTTAATCCTACTCTTAATATAGCTTTACCTATCTAAGTCAACCAGCGCTGACTCCCGCTCTGCCAGAGCCCAGTGTTGTCAAGACATCCCCTGGTGTCGGCCACAACCAAGCCTGATAACAGTAATTACGTAATGCTCCACTATTCTACGGCCGCCAATCTTATACTTACCACTATAACCATCTACCTAACTAAACGACCTAACCTTAACCGGTTCTAGCTCCTACTCTTAGTCTAGCTTTACCTATCTAAGTCAACCAGCGCTGACTCCCGCTCTGCCAGAGCCCAGTGTTGTCAAGACATCCCCTGGTGTCGGCCACAACCAAGCCTGATAACAGTAATTACGTAATGCTCCACTATTCTACGGCCGCCAATCTTATACTTACCACTATAACCATCTACCTAACCAAACGACCTAACCTTAACAGGTTCTAGCTACAGAACCTGCCCGGTATCAAAATGACCCCCCTCTCGATCGGGTAAACTGGCACTCCTGATCTCAAAAGGCTAATCGTATTTTCCTCTCGCCCCTGATAGTCTAAACAATCCTTCATTTCCCTGGAATCTCAAACTATCCTGTCGATAGCCGCAACATTGTAACACTAGTATTCTGTAAACCCTCCATAATTCAACCTCGTACTGACCCAAACATATGTTAAACTGACCTCTCTGCACTTAAACTGCAATAACTGTCGTATACTAATATATGCCCAAAATACTACCGTCACATACTGGACACCACGACCGCCTTATTATAATCATTACACTACCTACATATTACACAATATTACCCTAAATTCATCTCAATTAATCACGGTTTACACAACTTTACAAAATCTGATCTTTCTTAGAACCCTACTATACTGGTACAATAATTTAATGGAAAATCTCGTAAAAATCTTGCCCGATCACAGCTTACACAACTTTACAAAATCTAATCTTTTTTAGAACTCTATCATACTGCTGGTACACTAACGGAATGGAAAATCTCGTAAAAATCTTGCCCAATCATGAAAATTTGATCTTTCTTAAAACTTTACTATACTGGTATACTAAAACACACTTTCTAAAACCCTTTTTCTGCTCTTCCTCAACCTTCCGAAATACCAGGGAGAGCATTTAAAGCCCCACTATAATAATTTAATAAAGTTTCATCAAACTTAACAGCTTACTTCATCTGTCTATATTGTCTTTCGTCTCTTATCCTCTCCGTCTCGTTCTCCGTTTCGAACATCCTCATCTGGATCCGGTCTCGAGTCTCCGTTCGTCGTTCAACATATCTTTTTCTGGCTCTTGTTCTATGTCTCCACTCCTCGCCCAGACTATTTTCCTCTGGATCTCTCTCTCTATCTCTGTTCAGAATACAAAATGATGTATAGCGTCTCAGTTCGTGGGTTTAGTGTCACAGTCTCTCTTGTACTCCAGGTATGTTATCCATCTTCTCCTCACCGCCCCTGTTGGGTAATACTCTCCGATAGTTATTTATTAAGACATTGTTTTACTTTTCATTTCAATATCGACAGTTCTTTCAGTTCCAAGTCATTTTTGATTAAGAGTGATTTGTCTGATTTTTGTGATCAATGATATTGCACTGTTATTTCGATATAACTACTGTTATATAGTTATATAAATCTTATGACTCATTCTGACTGTTATATAAATTTTGTGACTCATCCTGACTCTGTATCTCCTTCCAGCCTATCCGCATTCTCCCGTAACTCGTCCCCGACCACTCTCTGTTTCCATTTATCCGCTCTCTGTGTCTCCATTTATCAGTTCTCGTCTCCGATCACTCTGTGTCTCCATTTATCAGCTCTCGTCTCCGACCACTCTGTGTCTCCATTTATCAGCTCTTGTCTCCGACCACTCCGTGTCTCCATTTATCAGCTCTCTGTGTCTCCGTTTATCAGCTCTCGTCTTCGACCACTCTGTGTCTCCATTTATCAGCTCTCGTCTCCGACTACTCTGCGTCTCCATTTATCAGCCTTCGTCTCCGACCCGTCTATGTCTCCATTTATCAGCTCACGTCTCCGACTCGTCTGTGTTTCCATTTATCCGCTCTCTGTGTCTCCATTTATCAGCTCTCGTCTCCGACCACTCTGTGTCTCTATTTATCAGCCTTCATCTCCGACTACTCTGTGTCTCTTTTGATCTGTTTGGAGAGGCGAATCATACACAGTTTAGGCTCTTGAAATCTTCGAATTAAAAATCATCTTGAGAGAACCTCCTCAAATTATTGGTTATATAGTAAGTAGTGTTGAAAGTAAGACTGGTCTCCATTTATCAGCCTTCGTCTCTGACCCCTCTGTGTCTCCATTTATCAGTACTTGTCTCCGATCGTACTGTGTCTCCCTTTATCAGTACTTGTCTCCGATCGCTCTGTGTCTCCATTTGTCAGCTCTCGTCTCCGACCGTACTGTGTCTCCATTTATCAGCTCTCTGTGTCTCCATTTATCATCACCGACACTTTCTGACTTCACTTGTCCACTACTGGTCTCTACATTACCAGATTCTTCTATTGAAGTTTCAGTTTCACTCGAAACTTCCACTCCTTCTGCTCCACTACATCAGAATCCCTATTATCTGCCTCGGCTTGTTTTTGTTTACCAGGTAACGCTTCTAAAAGGGACTCTTCTATTTCAGGAAGGACTCTCGCTAACCCCCATGCCAGCTGGAACCCCTCTTTTCCCCTTTCTGGCTCTCCTCTTTCTGCTTTACTACATTAGAACCCCTCTTCTCCTCCTCGGCTTGCTCTTGTTTATCAGGTACCGCTTCTAAATGGGACTCCTCTCTTCCCATCATCTTTCCCCAGGATTCAGGAAGGACTCTCGCTATGGTCTTCCTCCTTGGAGAGGGTCCACTACCTTCAGGAGCGTGTATTAGTTTAAAGAACTGTTATTATAAGGGCTGGCATTAAAGTTCCCTTGTCCCCTCAATGACTGCAGTCCTTCTCTCACTCGTTCCTGCCCTGCCTCCTGATTACCCTGTCCATGGTTACACTGGGTACTTACATGCCCAGCAACACCACACTTGAAGCAAGTCACACATTGATCCGCTCTATGTCCTCTCTTATTGCATCTGAAGCACCTGTCTCCCATTGGTCTTCTTTGCTGTACTCCTCCTCTTCTGAAGTTCCCTTGCTCTCTTTGAAGCCCTCCTCGGCCACTGTGTCCTTGCGCACAATCCATTGCAATATGACTCTGTCTCCCGCATCCATAACAAGTAGGGGGCTTTCTACATTCCTTTGCGAAATGTCCATGCTGTCCACAGGTGTAACAAGCACCGATGTCTCTTCTCGGCCGGTTCTCTTCCATCACTCGGTTTATCACTCCCTCATCCATCTCTATATCCTCCCTGATTTGGAACAAAAGTTCCTCCTCATTCTTCACTGGTTTAGCGTTACGACTCGCCAGGATCCCATCCAACTTAACTGCCCTCTTTAGCGCGGCCTCAAAATCTTCCAATTCTGACTTGATTAACTCGATCCCGATTTCATCCTTTAATACCCCAGCTGTAAATACATCTAGCCTGATGGTCTTCTTGATCCCCTCCTCCTCCGGTGCATATGCCGCATCCGCCATGTCAGTGACTCTAGCTGCAAAATCCGAAATTGTCTCTTCCTCTTTCTGACGCATCTCAAAAAGTCTCTTCCTGCACTCCGCCTTTGAATGCACATCACATAGCACCTCTGTCATCCTCTCCAAACTCGCCTCTAAATTTCTCTTCTCGTCCCGGGTTAATCGTAGGGTCTCCACTCTCCTCTGTGCCTTGGGGTCCAAGTACGTCATGATCATGTCCACCAAGTCTTCATCCAAGATGTCCGCAGCATTGGCAAATATTTTAAACCCGCTCAGGAAGGTCCTAAAGCTGTGTTTCCCCAGCACAAACATCCGAGGTTTCATTAATGGGTATTTCTTACCCACTGCTCTGTTCGCTTCTCTGATTCTCTTCTTTTCGGTCTCATTCTCCTGCATAGCTTCTAACTTACCCTCTCTGAATCCATCTCTTCTTAGCTGTGCTCCCTGCTGCCTCAATTCATCATATTGAGTCCTTAACTCTTCGTTTGCTAGCTCAGCCTCCTGCCGCGCTCTCATCATTACCTCATTAGCTATCTTTATCTCTGCCAATTCCTCTCTCAGTACCGCTTCCATGACTAACCACTGTACTCCAATTATTTGTTATATAGTAGTGTTGAAAGTATTAAAAACACTGTCTCTCTCTTCAACAATGTACTAATTAAAATACAAACACTGTCTCTCTCTTCAACACTGTACTACTTACGATGCAAATATTATCCCGCTCTTTAACAGTGTACGAATTAAAATGTAATAATTAAAATAACCAGTGTACAGGTCAAATGTAATAATTAAAGCTCTCGCTTATCAGCTCTCTATTGCTCGGTTTTTAATCTAATTGATAAATCGGTGTCTCACACCGTCACTCCATGACTTAATCTCAGTCAGTTCCTCATATTCAAATATTCGGACAGTCAATTCAACACTCTCTTCACAGAAAAGTAGTCCTAGTTTCTTTCATCATAGAAAATACCATACCCTGGCACCCCTCAAATTTAAAAACCCCTTCAAAACGTTCCAAGTTTTCAAATCAATACACCGCTCTAATTCCCTACAAGTGACGTCACCACTCTCAGAATAACCTCTCTTCAACCTCCAATGCTAGCATCACCCGGGTCTTATTTATATAATATCTCTTCCTCTATCTCTTCCTCTATCTCTTTCTCTATCTCTTCCTCTATCTCTTCCTCTATCTCTTCCTCTATCTCTTCCTCTATCTCTTTCTCTATCTCTTCCTCTATCTCTTTCTCTATCTCTTCCTCTATCTCTTCCTCTATCTCTTTCATGATATCACAATACGTAGCGCTACTAAAAGAAAACAAGTCTGACACACTACAGAACGGTTCAGCAGGCAGCCACTCCCACTGAGGCTCTGGTGGCTGAAAGTATGTCAAGTCTGCCGTCTTAAAACTTAAAATAAGACCCGGTTATCCCTGAATCAACTCATCAAAACACTCTCTCGAACCAATCCCTCAACGGACGGACATATACTTCCCAAAATAACCCCTCCTAACCTGTGCCTCTCCGGTATCTAACCCCCTGTCCCCTCCATGATGAAAGAAACCCCAAAAATACCATTTAAACTCTTACACTTCACCGAGCATTCCTTTACAGCTTTACTGCTCTTGCACTGCACTAGTCTAACAATGGTAACTGACAACACTGTATAATATTACGTTTACGTTACATATTTACAAATACTCCTGACCTCTGTCGACTCACTCTCACACACTAAATAGTCTCCATTACCTTAATTAAAATACAAAACAAACTATCCTATAATAAAATAGGATCCTACCGTTCGCGCCATTTGTAAGCAGTGGACACTTGCTTCTCGGTTCGAAGTTTATTTGCATTTAATTAAGGGTTTGGACAATGGAAACGAGCGTGATAATAAAGGGTAAACAAAGTTAAACTATGAAACAATACAATGAATAATTCGACAACCTCTACTTCAAATCCTAATTAACCAGACTCGTATCGCCCATAAACGCTCAGCGATCTAGTGCTGCAACATAAAACACGGATAGCACGGTCAACTCGCCTTGACCCTGCCTAATCTAGGTGCCCTGAAATAACCACTGTCGATTCTAAACCTCTAACGACACGTTCCATCCGTGCTCACCAGGCCCCAACCATAACTGGTCCTGGTCCCTTACACTAGTCTGGTATCAACCATGACCCTCTATCGAATAGGGTGAGAATGCAAACAAGGGGTATAATAAAGGTGCCCAAGGTACTTAACTGAACAATGAATAATCGAATATTTGCTCAACCAACGCTTAGTCACTTAGACTCATATTGCCTCAAATGCTGTGCAACAAATTCCTAATTGCTCCGATTCATACTGCCTCAAATATTACGCAACCTACTTCCTGCCGTTAATCCTACTCTTAATATAGCTTTACCTATCTAAGTCAACCAGCGCTGACTCCCGCTCTGCCAGAGCCCAGTGTTGTCAAGACATCCCCTGGTGTCGGCCACAACCAAGCCTGATAACAGTAATTACGTAATGCTCCACTATTCTACGGCCGCCAATCTTATACTTACCACTATAACCATCTACCTAACTAAACGACCTAACCTTAACCGGTTCTAGCTCCTACTCTTAGTCTAGCTTTACCTATCTAAGTCAACCAGCGCTGACTCCCGCTCTGCCAGAGCCCAGTGTTGTCAAGACATCCCCTGGTGTCGGCCACAACCAAGCCTGATAACAGTAATTACGTAATGCTCCACTATTCTACGGCCGCCAATCTTATACTTACCACTATAACCATCTACCTAACCAAACGACCTAACCTTAACAGGTTCTAGCTACAGAACCTGCCCGGTATCAAAATGACCCCCCTCTCGATCGGGTAAACTGGCACTCCTGATCTCAAAAGGCTAATCGTATTTTCCTCTCGCCCCTGATAGTCTAAACAATCCTTCATTTCCCTGGAATCTCAAACTATCCTGTCGATAGCCGCAACATTGTAACACTAGTATTCTGTAAACCCTCCATAATTCAACCTCGTACTGACCCAAACATATGTTAAACTGACCTCTCTGCACTTAAACTGCAATAACTGTCGTATACTAATATATGCCCAAAATACTACCGTCACATACTGGACACCACGACCGCCTTATTATAATCATTACACTACCTACATATTACACAATATTACCCTAAATTCATCTCAATTAATCACGGTTTACATGTGGTCGGCTGGTTTTATCTGGTGTAGACTAAACCTCAGCGATCTGTTCCAAGCTAAAACTGCTGGTGTTTGTCCAGTAGACGAATGCAGGGTGTTTCTATATGTTAACAGGAAATCATATAGATTTTTACTCACGTCTTTACTCGACTCATTCATTTTCTTTAAAGCTCCTTTAAAGGTTTGCACCAAGCGTTCACAAATTCCGTTTGACTTTGGGCTATAGGTCGGAACTGTGACGTGTTTCACTCCATTTTTTTTATTTGAAAATTCAATTAATCATTATATATATAAATCAAGCGTTACATTTCAGCCATGCAAAGTTACAATGACATATGGTACATATTACAACATTATCATGTTACAATGATAAATGGTACTGCAATATAAGTTGCTTAATGTTTGGCCGGATGACAACTAACGAGAAAAATAAACTTGATTATATAATAATTAATTCGGCTGAACCAACACATAGCAAGAGCCACATTAACGTTTGGGGAGTCAAAGACGACGGTTGACAGAGGACGGGGACCGATATTCAATGATGAAGGGTCAAAAACTAAACGAGGTCCTGGAACGTAGACGACAGAGAGCGGAGTCACATATACCTGTTTCCGACCACATGACAACAAATGTTATTCCTCAGCAGTCAGCTCGATCAGCTTCACCTGTGGAGCAACCAGGTAGGTTGGTCCGTGAGTCCCCAACGTTGGAGCGCAGGTAACTCTCGATTTCCTCAGACACAAACTGGGGTCCATTGTCGGATACTAGTGTCATAGGAATACCTGTTCGTGCAAATATCGATCTTAATGCACGAATTGTTGCTCTAGATGTTGTATTAGCATTCATCTGAATTACTTCAGGCCATTTACTATAAGCATCTACCAGTAAGAGCCACATACTGCCTAAGAAAGGCCCAGCAAAGTCTACATGGACCCGTTGGAATGGTGCTGTTGCTCTAGCCCACGGATGATCTACCAGTTTGGGTAGGTTCTTACCGTACTTGCCACACGTCTCACACGTCCGAGCAGTATCCTCGATTTGTGTGTCAAGACGAGGCCAGTATACATAAGAACGAGCTAAGCTCTTCATACCTGACATACCAATGTGGGTCGAATGTAATATACGTATCACAGTATCTCTCAACTTTACAGGGATGACCACTCGAGCTCCCCAGGTCACACAGCCTAGTTCCACTGTCAGCTCGTCTCTCCTGCTCCAAAAAGATGCTAGTTCTCCCTCACATTTCAGGTAATCTGGCCATCCTTCCAGAATATAACACAAAACCTTGCTCAGTATCGGATCTTTCTTCGTTTCTCGAGCCACCAACTCGGCGTTGAGCATGGCTTCACTCACTGTCAGAGAAAACATATCCAAACAGTCATCTTTAACCACAGTTGGGTGTCTCACCTCCTTTGGTAGTCTCGACAGCATATCACAATTTGCGTGATCTTTTGTGGTGCGATACTCGATGTCGTATTGGTAGTTCATCAGGAACAAGGCCCACCTTGTTATCCGGTTAGCTGTCATCTCTGGAATTGGTTTGTCTCCAAAGATTCGAACTAAAGCTTTGTGATCCGTGACCAGTTTAAATCTCCTTCCATAGAGATAACTGGTTTAACTGAAATTTTTGTTTAACTGATAGATATGCAGTCTCTTTATTGACCATACTATTGCCAAAGCTTCTTTGTCCATTTGTGCATAGTTCCTTTCTGCAGACGATAAGGTTCGTGACACATACTCGATCGGGCGTTCTTCTCCATTAGGCATTATGTGAGATAATACTGCTCCTATTCCAGATTTAGACGCATCCGTATCGAGTTTCAGAGGTAGCTTAGGGTTGTAGAATGTCAACACACGACGAGAACACAACAAGTTCTTCAAACTTTGGAACGCTTCATGCTCCTCATTGGACCACTTCCACGGCACTCCCTTTGCTCTTAACCTATCTAGGGGAGCAATAACAGATGACAGGTTCGATAAATATCGTCGATAGTAGTTCACTGCACCCAGAAAACTGACCAGTTGGTCCACGTTTTTGGGTTCAGGAGCCAACTTTAAACTGTCTACTTTACTCTGTACCGGTTGTATCCCCTCTGCTGATACTCGGTGTCCCAAGTAAATCACTTCTTTCTCCATAAGGCAGGTTTTCTCGAGTTTGCACTTGAATCCACGTCTCTCCAAGCGAGAAATCACTCTGTTCAGGTTAATCAAGTGCTCTTCGTCATTTTTACCCGATATTAGGATATCATCTATTCTGCAACAAGTCATCGGCACACCGCGTAGGGTATCATCCATTATTGACTGAAAGATTGCTGCAGAACTACTGATACCATAGGGTAATCTATTCCATTGGTACAGTCCTTTGTGTGTGTTAAGTGTCGTCAAGACTCGGTCCTCCTCTCTAATCTGGATGTTATTGTAAGCTTTCTTGATGTCCACTTTTGAAAACTTAAGGCCACCCCGAACTGTATTAAAGCACTCTTCCGCTGTGGGCAAAGGGTACTGTCGGGTGCTCACACACTTGTTCAACGTTGACTTGTAGTCTCCACATATTCGAACAGACTCACCTCCGTCTTTCTTTACTGGAACTAGAGGAGTCCCCCACGGGCTATCATCTACTTTGGACAGGATACCGCTTTCAACCATTGAGTTAAGTTCATCCTCAACTTTGTGTCTCAAGGCATACGGCAGGTTTCTAGCCTTCAACATTATAGGCTTGGAGTCGTCTCGCAGGACCAAACTCGCCTCCACATCCTTCACTAGTCCAAGTCCCGATTTGAACACATCACTCAGTTTGAGCTCCTCCAAACTTCTGCACTGATCCACTCTGGTACAGTCATCATTCAGTTTTAAATCATTCTTCACGTTGGTCCCATCAGTTTGCATCATTGGTCTCCCTCTACCGTCGCTACCTGCACATTTCTCACAGTTGTTCACCTGCTGAGAATCTTCAGAACGCTGGGTTGTCTCAATTGCCAAACGGTTGACCAACCTGGTACTTAGCAGCTTGTCTAGCCAGTTCTCACCACAGAACTTAGTTATCCAGGGTCTCCCTAACAAAGTTGGGAAATCCTCGGCTACATACAAGTGCAAGTCCGGAACTTTTTTACCATTCATTGTCACATCCACCACTGCATAGCCATCCACGATCACCTGCTGTCCACTAGCCACTCTCAGTGTTTTCCTGCTGGGTTGTAATGTTAAACTTGACAAACCACAGGACACTAAGACACGTTTACTGACAACAGATACCGCCGAACCAGAATCAAATTCCATATTTAAGATTTTACCGTTAATCAATACATCAACTGTCGGTTTACCTTCCAACTGGTTCACATCATAAATCAATTTATCAGAATTAGAATTAGATTCAGCACTATTCAATTTAAACTTGGAATCAGCAATATTTTCATGCAACCGAGAAATCGTACAAATCCCCAAAGAATTTACAATTATGGAACAATTATCATGCAACTGTGATCGCTCATTAACTTCTATGAAGTTACACTGAAGCCCATAAAACTCCTCGTCGAGAATGCTGTTGCAGTTGTCGTCAAACTCTTGTAGTTCTGCATCGCTGTCTACATTGTTGACATCTCGCTTGTTCCAATTATTCCTACACTTGCTACTGATGTGCCCAAGTCCCGAACATTTGTAACATCTCACCTCACATTTATCAGCCTCATGACCCCTTAAACCACACTTCTTACACTTGGTTTTTGATTTGTTGTTTGAGTCCCAATTTTCCGGCTGATATTGTTTTTTGTCCATTTGAGATGACTCCCCCTTCTTCAGATAAGGGTTATTTACTGTTCTCTTGAATGTTGGATGTTTACTATACTTAACACTGTTCACTGTGGCAGACATACTACCATGCATTCCTTGAGCCTCTTTCTGAGCTTGCTCTCTGTTGAGCGCTTCTCTTATGGCTGTTTCCAGATCCAAATCTGTTTTGACCAACAGTTCCGATACCAGTTTCTCGTCCTTCAGACCGCACAGAATCTGATCTAGCAAAGCTTCGTTATAGTTTGTGCCAAATTCACACTCATTTGCCAGTGACCTTAATCTTGATATAAAGCTGGCTCCAGACTCATCTGACTGCTGACGTCCACTCCTAAATTTGTGCCTTTGAGCGAATTTAGTAGGTGCCGGTGCCAGGTGGTCCAATAACAACTTCCTCAGTCTTGGATGGTTCGAGTCAGCTACATTCTCCGGCGCACACAAAGCTTTTAAAAGCTTGAATATTTCAGCATCACATTTAGATATGAACACCGCTACATTCTTTTTTATGATCAAGGTTCGCTCTGCTGCGTTACTGCTGTCTTCTGCTAGGTCCGGCACTGTCCCCATCCAAGAATTGGCCAGGGCGTGAAAATCAAACCTTTCTAACCAACTTTTCACGTCCGCCATTAGTGACAGGTTCTCCAACTTGTTTGCCATCCTCGTCGCCAGTTGATATAACAAGGAACAGTCTATTTGGAACTAGCCATAAGAGGCTAGGGAAGTTCATTGATTAGTAAATATGATTAGTAAATATAACAATATCAATTATAGTAATAATACAATATATAACAGTTGGGGGGGTGTAACCCAAAAAACCCAACTCCTACCCAAGAAAAGGTAATACTGGGATTGGGTTTTTTTTTTGGGTTTTTTTTGGGTTTTTTAAACAAAATTTAAACAAAATTCTAGCCATTTCATTAATTGTATTGAATGTGAATTATTTCCCACTGAGTCTTACCTACGTGTTGTTCTCATGTCTTAACTTAATAGATAGTTTACATAGTATATGAGTGTGTTTATATTGATAGTATGTTATCACGATAGCAAACAGGATGTCTCGGATCATCGAGATATAATCCATATGAATGCACAAAGTGGAAATGTGCCAAATGTGGCAAATGTGTTCTCCTGTCATGGATTATGGAAGGAGGCTATGACGAAGGTCAAGGGCAAGTCAAAGCACATGGACTTAAATTACTTGACTTAAGGCGGCTTCAGAGTCCGAGTCTCAATGATGTGTCTCCAAAGCTTTCTGTCCGCCATAAGCTCCTTAATCTCCCCAGTGTTCTTGAGTACGGTGTCACTTATTAGGTTATCGATGAAAGTGAGCGGTGGTCTGCCCCTCCCTCTGGTCCCATGGCTAGGTTCGCGAAGGAGAAGTTGTGTACTGCCCAGGTCATCATATCGCTGGATCTCTGATGTGCCCAGCCGACCTCATTCTTCTGGCCTGTATCTTCGAACTAACTCTTGGGAGTGATTTAAAGACCTCTTTGTTGGTGCGATGTTCCTTCCAGTCCACGTTTAGGGCCATCCAAAGCATTTTACTGTAACATCCGTCTATTCTTTTTCAAAGATTCTGCATTGCCCGTTTTTTTTGCCTACATGAAATTTTTTCAACTGTACTTGAAACAGGGGACTTTAAAACATCTCGGTGGAGTCTCAAGAACTTGTAAAAAATTTTGTGTAGTTTGCATTTCATCTCCTACACCGCTCGCTGCATCGTTAGAATCATAGGTCTAGGTCAGGTCTAAAGTTGAAAAGACAACTGACAACAAAACCAAGCATTGAGTATTCAACAAATAACCATTTTTTTAACATTTTACCCCACAGTGGCTACTTTGAATTTTAATTCCTTTAAATCAAATGATTATTAATGTTATATTATGTAGTAATGTAAAAGTTTCATTCAAACACCAAAATTACTAAAATGGGAAGCAGTAGATCTAAAAATTATAAAATTTAAGTGATCGCATGACCACTTGTCATATTTGCGCTTACACAGTACCATTGACAGGTTAAAATACAACAATTTTATTTTAATGGACATTTAAAAAGAGAGAAACAAATTTAGTGCAACAAAATTTATAAATTTTTTCCTTATTTTACAATCATATATAATAATAGTTATAAGCCTCCGTTTTGAAAGTTTTTAAATTTTTAATATACATACACATTTCCTATTACAATAGAATTATATGTAAAACAAGTCAATAACTGGCCGCCAAAGCCGCGCATTCTGAAACAGGATTAACTTGAATTATAGTTATAACGACTAATGTAAAATTTAAAACTATCCGTGGTTTTTTCTTTTAATAAATAAATTAATAATTTTAACCTAAGTCCAAAGCCAGCGCCCTTTGAAAAATTTATTATTAAATAAATCATAATATATCGTCTACATTTAAATATTGACAATGCCAACAATTCATTAATCGGTATACACGCGTACTCCAACCCCTAAACGCATAAATAGTTATGGCGGCGCGGCTTAGCCGGGCACGCACGTATTATTTGATACAGTTTGCATTCTAATAAATATCGTGCCAATGTGTACGTCGAAATTGGTAAACGTTCATTTTTGTGTAAAGTAATTCCAATTGGGACTAGTTACAAGGATAAGGACCCAAGTGCCTGACGGCTTTTTTCGGACCCTTTGACCACTATCGTGAAATCCACTCTACAACATTGACATTATATCTACTACTCATGTGCAGCATTGTCAATTTTAATCTAACTTTCTTATTATTGCCGAGGGGGAAGAGTAACGCTTCACATTAAAATTCAATATACAAAATTCAAAACCATCCAATACGTCAGTGGCGTAACGAAAGGGCCCTGCGGACCCCGCTGTGCAGGGGCGCCTCTTAGGGGGGCGCCAAATCGTCCGTTTGAATGTGGACAATTTCGAAAACTTAACTAAAGTACTAGCAAACTGCGCATTTTGCTCTAGATACACACTTTTTTAGAGATTTTTTTAAAACCGGCGTATTTCTTTAAAATCACCTAATTTGTTCAATTTTAGGGAGGGCAAACCAAAAGGGGAAGGGGCGCCAACAGGGTAATCGCTTTTTTCGGCAGGGGGCGCCAACAGGCAACGTTACGCCACTGCAATCCGGTTTATATATTATGGACAAATCTATAGATCTATTTCGTAGTCATATATTCACACGATTTGCTTTAATTATTTTTAATACGGTAATGAAGTACAGTAGGATTTTGTGTTTTCGAGAAAGAAATTTTTTAAAAAATTTTGTGACAAAACAATTGATTGTTTTAAAATTATAATTCAATGTTTTAAAATTTGAGGGCCAATTCAAAATATATTTTTAAGAATTTTACTATTATCCATAGATAATTCGACTCACTGTTTGATGTTTCTTGAAAGAGTGGTCCCATGATGCAAAATTTAGGTCAAATTGAATAATCTCTCGGTTAGGGAAATTAGAGATTGCAACAGGGGACATTTTGGGAAATTTTGTCAAGTTTGGAAAAATAGTTCCTTAATCGTTCCAGTAGAATTCGTGGTAAATCCTGTAATTTTGAATTTATTCTAGTCTTAAAAAACTGTTCATGTTTGAGGAGTGATGGAAAACAGTGGAATAGATTAGATCTATATTATCCAAATCTCGGGGATTTTTTTATTCTTTTTGTTCATATTTTTATTAAATCCTAAAGAAAGTACCTCATTGAGCTTAAAAAGCGTTTTCTTTTGTGTCCCAAAAATATAGCCAAATTACTGCATATATTTTCATGCCAAAATTTTGCACACCCTCCCTCTCTCCAACATTTCTAAGACCAAGTGTTCAATCCGTTGGGTAAACTCCATAAACCACAAATCTCGAACTGAACAGGAAAAGTTATTATTATATTCAACCTCAATTGAAAGCTTAGTGCACTTCTTTCAGACCAAAATGTTTTTCATCATTGGGCACAGGGATATTGTCAAGTCAAAGCTTTTTCACTCCTTTTATTAAGATTGGCCATAATGTTCTTGGTTCAAATCCATTTGTGACCAGTAACCAGGGGATATGTGGTTTTTCACTGAACAAATGATTTAAAAATTTTGATAAATGTTGTTTTTATTTCCCTCCTAAATAAAAATTCGAAACGTTGGTTTCCATATGGTATTAAAAGAATTTATAGTATTATTTTGAGGTTTACCTATCCAACCAATGAGTCCAAAACTGGGGAGTCAAACCATTTTTGGCCATATCCATAGGAATCCGGTAGCCACACAAGGATCTGGGGGCGGAAAGTGAAAATAATATGCAACTTTTCGATACATTCCTTTCCCACTAAAATTTGGGAAAATATTGGGGTGCAATGAATCTTTTCTTCCTCTTCAGTGGTGTACCACCAAGGAAGGGATAACCACAGCTCCCAACCAAGGTTTGAAGTATTTTTTTGCCTCCAACCTGTAAGATGGTAAAAGTCATCCATTGTATCTATGAGTGCAAAAAAACATCTCTAATCAAGTCAGATTTTAATAATGGGATTAAATGGAAAACAATAGATTTGAAATTTGAGTTTCTTCTGCCAAAAAGGTGTTCCAACTCAAGAATAAAACTAAAAGAGTTTAAATAAATATAAACTCAGTGAAAATTGGAATCAAAAATTCCGCATTTCCAATGTTTGAAAGTGATTTCCATTGTATTATGAAGTCCAATAACCACTTTCGGGATACATGTAAAGTCATCAAAGTAACCCACTGGGATTGCCCCCCCCAATCTCCCCCATTGAAAACCTGAAGAGCCCCAAAAATCAAAAGTTTAAAACCAAGATTTTAATCTAAACTGGATCTCCTGGGGGTTTTCTCCTCTCAGAAAAAAGATTTTAAAAAAGGGATAAACAGTGAAAAAATTTAATAACGAAATGACAAAAACCCCCAAAAAGTTTAATACCCCCAAAAATAAAACACTTTCCCACACAAAAAAGGGGTCAGAAAAAAACCTTAAAATGAACCCGGTTTTTTGGGCCTAGCTAAAACATTAAGTTTTAGGGTTTAAGCACAAGCCAAACAGCAGGGGGTTTTACCCCAGAAAAAACAGGTTTGGGGGGTTTCTTTTAAAAAAAAATTGGCCCCGGGAAAGCCCTTGGGAAGAAAATTAAATGGGGGGTTTTAAACCTAAAAACAGGGCTTTTTGGGAAGGGGGCAAAAAAACCCCAAATTTAAAAACTTTTAAAACCCTCTCAAATTATTATCAAAAAATTTTAACCCCTTAAATTTTAGCAGAAAAAAAAAATGTTTTTTTAAAAGGGCGGCCCCTTTTTATAGAAAATTTTATTTTTTTTATGCTTTTTTTTTTAAAAAGGGTTTAACCCGGCATTTTCCAAACCGGCCCCCATTTTTTTGCAACCCAATTTCCCTAAAAAATTTTTTTCCCTCAAAATTTTTGTGAAAGGGGAAAGGGAAATTTTCAAAAAAAATTTTTTTTTTCCCCGCACGGAGAAAATATTTTTGATATGACTCAAAACCCGTAACTAAAAAGCTTTTTTTTAACCCGGGGGGGCGTTTGCGGGGGACCCCAATTTTATTTTAGAAAAATACCCCCACGTGGCCCCCGGGGCCAAAAACCCGGGGTTAAAAAAAAATACCAACCGTGGGGAACGAAAACTTTTTTAAAAAAAAACTGCCCCTTCGCCCGGATTTTTTTTCC